GGGGGGAGAAGGAAGAGGCGGGCGTGAACCACAGGAATGTGGTCGGGAAAGGAAAGTGATACGTCATGTGAGGGACGAGATGAGATCTGAAAACTTACATTCCTTCCGGGTGGCCGTGCTGCTTTCGCTCCTCCTGGTCGAGCACGTCGGCGGTGATTCCGTCCCCGTATGCAATGTTGCCCGCACCGCCGCGCCCCGTCGAGTGTACAGGCCCTCGAGAGCGAGAGCGTGAGCCAGAGATGTTACCCACGCCTCCGCGTCCCGTCGAGCGCTGGACGAGGGAGTTGACGTTTATGAACTACTGTGAAAAAGACAACAAGAAGGAAACGTACGATTTGGTTCGCATCAGCATGCTGCTGCACCACCCTCTGCTCATACTCGGCCTGCTTATCCTCCGGTATCGCCTGATCGGTCCTTACATCTCGCGACGGCGAGCGGATATTACCCGCGCCGCCGCGGCCCACCGAGAACACCTATAAACTCGCGTGGGGTGTCAACCAATCCGAATGAAAGAGCACAGGGGTGAAGAGCGAGCCAACCTGTTCCTTGGGCGCTGTCTCTCGCCCGCGAGGCGGCGTAGGTGGGAACTCGTCGCCTGGCGTCCTGGCAGCGGGCTCGCGGGACTGCGAGGTACGCCTGATGTTGCCTGCGCCTCCGCGCCCGGACGATTGCTGTGCAGATTTCAAGAAGCAGGATCACAGGAGATTTGCGCGCAGTGACGTCGACGGGGGAAAGGGATGAGATCGATCGAGGATAGCGTTAACTTAGAGCTTCGCGATAAGAGATACACCCACGAAGAACTGGTCTCTGCCACGCGATAACGAGCGGTTCGGTGAGTCTGTCATAGGTTCGAGATTGTTAATTTCTTGATTATGCTCTAGAAAGGCCACAATCTCGGGGAAAAAACGGTGGGAGGGGGTATGATGTGATATGGTGGGGAGGAAAGGAAAGGAGAGGAGATGACTCGACGATTGAAATACGGCACAGCGCCGAGGCACGCCAAGTCAGGCCGCTGGCTCGGATGCGGTTGGAATGCTGGAGCCCGACGAACGTCGATGAACCAACGAATGAGATAAGAGTGAGCTCAAGCCCCAATAGCGGAGAGCGCTAGACGCTCCGAGCCGAGTGGCCCGCAGGGGGTGAGCTTATCGTGTGGGCTGGCTTATCTCTGCCAGGGCTGGCCTATCTCTGCTCCCAGCCCAGCCACCCCCGCATTCGCAGAAAGATAGAAGAACGCAAAAAGGCGCGCACCCCACGCGACGCGTCTCATACAACACCTCCAACGGAAAAAAAGTGAACGAACGAACGTACCGCTCTCCTTTCCCGCACCCTGATCAACCAGCGTCGCCCCGTCGATGCTCGCTCCATCTCGCCCGGATCCTTCTTTCCCGCTTTCCCGCGATAGCGCCCTGCCGAGGCGCGCGCCTATTGCGCTCATCTGCTGCGAGAGCGAGCGGCGCATCGTTGTCGACGTCACAGATGATGTCTCAGACAGCCGCCGTTCCATCGACGGTGGCCGGTCGGATCTTGGTCTCTCGCTGGTGCGCGAGATGCTGCTGCTCCTGCGCTCCTCGATCGTGCTCGAGCTTGGGGGGATCGGGCTTGGGCCCAAGTCGTGTGTGGATGCTGTTGCAGTGGCCATGGTGGGTGGGAGGCTTATAACGGTGGATGGACGCTTGGGAGAAGAGGCGCAGCGTGAGTATGGTCCCTCTGGGCTGGTGCTATTAGCCCATTGACGGGCTATTGTTGCGAACGTGCGGCATCTTGCGTAATCCGTCATTCAGTTTTGCTTTTTCAGGTCCGTCCATTTGACAGCCGGCTGCATCATACGACGGCTCATTCATCGCTGTCTTCTGCCGTCCCCAGCCCACCGTAATGATCTCCTCACTGGTGTTTTCTTGTGCTCGTTCTAATTTTTTCCATGACATTTTGTCTGCCCATGCAGTTCACCACTTGCAGCTTCCTGGACACACTAATTGCACCATGGAGTCCAAAGACCTATTTTACGAACGTGATCAGCCCCTTCCGTAACGTGCTCCTTCCGCGAATGTAACTCCTCCCGAACCTTTGTAGGCAAAGCTCCGTTCATTCATTTGGGCGCATTTCCAATTCATAATGCTTGTTACCGGTCACAAGGCCTTGTGAACGGGGCCAGACGTCCTTCTGATGTCTCCTAGTTACGTTTAATGTTTTCGCATTTTTGGACGTCTTCAATCCCGTCTTCACAAATTATAAGCCTTTGGCTCCTTTAGAGTGCCAATACCTCACGGCGTGGGCTGCGTCTTGTTCTTCTAAGCACCCCCCGGACGTCGTCGTCTCTGCGGTTCCTCGATCCCGGTTTTAGGTCTGCGTCCATCGTCATCCAATGGCAGAAGCTGTTCTGGTTCGGCAAGACTTTTTGTCCGCTATGCGTTACACATGATGGTCAGTTACGGGTCCCTCTCAATCCCAAGCTGCGCAAGTGTCGTAAAGGCTATGATTCGCGGCGAACTCAAATGAATACACGGTACTCAAAACGTATGTTTCCTGCCTTCGGCGGTCTCCTCGTCTTCTAACTCATGCTCGCCCTAATCCAGTATAGGTCCAATAGGAAACCTGCATCGCAAACGTGACTGGGCACTCCCGTAACGTGCTCTTCCTAGATCGTAACGCCTTCCGGATCTTCACAAACACCGTTTCTTTGGCTCCATTACCAATTGACAAAGTTTGCTGCAGAAGCGCCAACGCCCACCCTCCCGCAACCGTGATCAAACGGCGCTGTGATGTTCTCTCCCCGATATTTACACCTTCGCATTGCTCCAGTCAAGCACCATTTCTATCATACAAAGCTGATTGCACCACTTATGCTCACGCCCTAGGCGGCTCTCTTCGGGAAATCGTACCCGCGACGAATAGTTCCATGCTGCGCTCCCCTTCCCTTATTTTTCTCTCAATCCCCATCGTTCAAAAGGATGTGACCGGTCATCGGTAATGTTATATCATTAGTCAATGTCTGGGTCTTGGGTACGTAAATCACTGGTGGTGAAAACTTAGGGCATGGTAAATTGTTCGCTCAGAGCTCGTGATCCGCCCATGCCTCGGCTCTGTTCTCACCCACCGCCTCGGACATACATACGTGCTCTTCCAACCATGGCTTTGGCGAACATCGACATCTTGCACGTTTGTACGGCATGAGCTCGTGATGCTTGCGACGGGTGTTGGGCCGCTTTCATCTCGCTAAACGCTTCGGTGCGGCCGCCCTTGTTCTACTTCCTTGGATGTGTGGGCCATAAAACCGGTCGCTAACGTTGATACAACGCACGTTTACGAGCGGCAGTTTGGACCACGTATAAATAATAGACAGTTTTAGTATGAGTATGCGAACATAGGATAATACATATTATATTTTGTGCAAAGCATTGACGACAACAGACGAGAAGGTAAATGTTACATATGAAAACTAGCGAGTAGAAACCGATGTACGATGGAATGACCGAGAGAAACGAACACACATCAAGCGATAAACGTCCAATCTTAGGCAAGCCTACACGACGAGCTGCTTCTCGAGCATCTTGAGATGCTCCATCCCGCACGCACCGTGCATCCAGTCCTTGACGAGTCGGTATTTCCGCGCCTGCGCACACCCAGGCACATCGCACGTCGGCTTTTCCTTCGAAGCGGCCGGCGGGGGTGTGGACACAGCCGCGGATGGGACAACGGAGAGCGGAATGGAGAATGTGAGGCGCATATTGCCGTCGGCGCGAGCGCTCTCCGTGTCCTTGGTCTCGTCTTTCACCCTGGTTACGTCGTCCATAGCTGCGTCGTCCTCTTCCGTCCTTCCATCCGCTGCACCCAAGTTGCCTACTTTGAACCTAGGCTCGGCGACCTGAGGACGAGTGGTCGATATCCAACGGTACATCGTCGGGATCACGGTCTCGACGGGCTCGACGTAGTCGGCCTCGGCGGATCCGTCACGCGCGGAACCGTCTTGCCCGGGTGTGCCTGAGCCTGCACCACCAGTCACGACGCCAGAGGCAGGCGTACGGTCGTCTGCGGGTGTGTTCTTGAGTTTCTTGCGGGATTGCTTCTTCAGGAGGCGGTTGATTGTTTCCATCTACGTGTAGACCATGCGTGAGTGAGTGTCGCGCTGAGACGAGATGGAGGGGACCAAGGAGACGATTGAGGAATGAAAGACCAACCTTCTCATCCTCGAGCTTCTTCTCTGTCAGGTTTCGCCGTTTGCGCGCGGTCTCTTCACGTCGAAGGGCGATTTCCGTCTCCGTCAGCTGTTTCTTCTTTTTGCTCTGCGACTCTTCGCCTAAATCGTGGTAACTAGATAAGTGAGGTGAATGTGATAGTCAACGCACATACCGAGGGCGACATGTGTAGAATATATCTGGCTAGCAAGCACAGCTTGGCGGTTGGTAAGCGGACGCTTCATCTTCCTGTCGATATCAGAGGAGGAGTCCGAGTCTCCGGACTCATTGTAGTCTGTGTGGTAGGTGCCACTCAGCACATGTGCGGCAAGGACAACGTCAAAGACGACTCACTTATTAGAACTAATTTCGGTGAGCTGGGCACGTCTCGAGGCGCGCGCGACGCAGCGCGCGACGCATCTGGGGTGGGGGTCACGCTCACGCTTGGCGTCGTCTGCGTGAGTTTGAGCTTGATCTTAAGGCGGGGAGGTGCGACAGGGGGCGATTCGTCCTCAGACTCCGGAGCATCCTGTATACGTTCGTAGGCAGGGCGGGAACTTCGAGTCAGCGTCCGAGGAAGACCTCGAGTGACAAGGGAGGGGAATAGACGCACGTCGTCCTCTTGTTCAACTTCGTCCTCGCCCTCGGCTTCTGCATCCTCGTCTTCAACCTCCTCGTCCTCGTCCTCAACGTTTGCTTCGCGTTCGACGTCATCTTCGCTCTTGCCCTCGACGTCGACGTCCATGTTTTCATTTTCGTTTTCGGCCTCAGACTCGGATTCGACCTGTATTTCTGCAACGCGTTTGGCGTTAGCTCGGGTACTGGCACGCGTGGTGCGAGGCATGATTTGTCAAGAAAGATTGGAAGGAAAAGTGAAAAGTGGGCTGGAGAAACGAGGAGGAGCGAGCGGCAGGTCGAGTGGCGTGCTGTGCGAGAATAAGAAGAGGGCTCACCAGTGTCAGATTGTCCATGTTCCCGCTCTGGCGTCGCGTTGATTCGCCCCATCTCTGTTTCCGGTTTTGTGTGATCTTGCCAGGCAAAACCGCTCCGGACCAGCTGGGAGATCTCACGCACCCCAACCACGTTTCCGGTACATACTGCTTCCGAAACGTTTCGGTCCCTTTCTAAACTCTTTCCGCTCGTCGTCATTCTCTCTTTTATATCTTTATCTATTCTCTAATACCCAGCTTTTAATGGCCAAACCCGTATACGAGCGCGTCCCGACTGAAGATGAGGACGTCCACAACTCAGACTCAAACGACGCGCGATCCAATCCCAGCTCGCCCGACCCTCGTTTCGAACGTCCATCACCGCCGGCCTGGAAACGCCTCCTCCTCATCGCTTTCACTGTCTTCCTCTTCTGGCTAGCGTTCGCAATCCGGCCGAAACAGACGGAAGACAAGATCATATATGCGTCCCGGTGAGCCCGCACTTTTGTAGTGGCCTCGCGTTCCTCGGCGTTCTGAGCTAGTATGGGTGTGTGCAGGTACTCTAAGGAGCACAAGTTCCGACCAGCTGCGAGCCCTGTCATCACCGAGCGTCTCAAGGATGGTAGAACGAGGTTGAGGGGAGCCCTTCAAACAGGACGTATAGCTTAAACCCTCCAAAGTGGGTGGACGAGGGGATCTGCGGCTGGTGCGTCCACTACTTTCCTTCGGTGCCATCCTCGTCTCACAGAGTCTTGTCTTGTAGCAGGTCTCGATTCAGTGTCGACGTAGCCTGTCACTTCGTTCCAGCGACCACGTCGTCGTTACCATGTCCTTCGAACTACGCACAATGAAACTGTTTTCGTACATAATGTTGTACCCAGGCGTACTCCCCACATTTCCTCCGAAATAAGGACCTGTTTGAGACGACCTGCTCAACTTTGTCATGAGCAATTCGATCACTCCCATCATTCCGGCTGCAAATTCGGTGTTCCGTGAGATAGGAGACCGCCAGGCAAGCCTGTCGATCATACCCCAGATTCTCAGTCCCAAATTCCGAGTGCATCCTTACGACGGTCCGCAGCGGCACCTCTCGCCCCATCATCGACATGGGCCGAAAACGAGTGAAACCGATACGGATTCTCGATAGTGAACTCAATGAACAGAAATATGGTGGCATGCCTAAGTTGAGCCCTCCTTTCGTGGTCTATTCTTGGTGTGGGATAAAGTACAAGACCCATAACTCGGTTTACTCCCGACTTGCTTGCTTCGCACCATGGACATCCATCTCGCCCTCCAGATGAGGGGCATCGACCTCGAGCAAGAGCTTGTGCAACACATTTATGATGAGATTCCCATCCGACTTCTTTCTGTCTCCACAGGTCAGCTCATCGACTGCGAATTCGTGATCGCCCACTTTCGTGACGCCGTCTTTGAAAATGTGTTACACGTTCCTCACGATTTGGCGGAGTACGACGGCGGCTCGGACCCTCCTCCATTTACAGAGTGCTACAAAGTTCACGTAAGGAGTGTCTTCCAACTTACGGTCGCGTACGCGGTGCTGTCCCATAGATGGAGCAGAGGCGAGACAACGTATCAGGGTTTTATCAATTGTGAGTTGCCATACTGCTGTTTGTTCTCGGCTCTCGGCGCTCACGCGACAAGTAGCTCTCGAACCGACCGAGAAAGTGCGCTGCTTGACATCAGGAAATTGACACACCACTTTTTCTTAGGTAAAATAGGTGCAGGACCCGTGGACAGCCACGGGGGCAGTGAGTGAAAAATAAACATTAATTATGCACAAAGCGGGATTAGTTACAACATGATAAACTCTAAAACATATATAGTAATTATTATATAAGTACTTCTGGATAAACAATATTTTTAGTCTTTGGTTCTTGAGCAAGTGGTGATAATATAGCCTTGAGACGTGAAACTGAAGTGGCTCGAGAGATGGCCACATAGAATTGACCATGTGTGAATACTGGTGACCGCAAATCTAAACCAACATGTTTCACTGACTGTCCTTGTGACTTGTTGATGGTCATAGCAAATGCAAGGCGGACTGGGAACTGGCGACGGCGTAGTGTAAAAGGAAGGTTGTTGTCTGATGGTGTCAATGTTATACGTGGCAGGAAAACTGTTTTTCCAGCATGGTCACCACCAAGAAGGCGAATTTCAATAACCCGGGTAGACATACGGGTAATGATGCCTCTGCTCCCATTGCAGACACCATTTCCAGGATCCACATTCCGGAGTACCATGATAGGACAGCCTTTCTTGAGAATCAAGCGGGATAAGGGAAGGCCAGATCCATTGATAGAGTTGAGATATTCTGCTGGAAACTGGACTTGCTCATCTGGCTGATCATTGTCAACAATAGAGTCTGCACTTTGGTAGATAACCTCTTCACCGGGAAAAGATTTAAGGTTAGGGTGGTAGCTTGCCACGACGAGTGAAGCGAGGAGGGGTAAGCGTACGGAAGAGAGGTTGAAACTTGGTCAACGGTGTTGGGTATTTCCCAACACAACCGTTTCGTATATATACTCTTCAGGACCAATTAAGTTTCGAGGTGGAGTACCATCGGATGTCTGTAGAGAGGCGGGAGACGCCTCTACGGGTGCATCCAAATGACATCATTGTATAGGAATAGATGTTAGTAAGCGTTTCAGCTATACTTAGTATGCTTGATGACTGATGTGAATGCCGAGGCCGATGCGATCGCATCGGGATTACCTTAAATGATATAATTGTCCCACAGTGGGAAAATAACCTATAAATAGGTGTTTCATGTAAAAATACCTGAAACTTCTCACGCCCTAAGAATAGTCAGTTCCACGTGACTAATAAGCGCTCGGGATTAGCCAGGCGTCTATCTCCTACGTTCTAGAATGTTCCCCGGTTAGGGTTATG